ATTTTGTGCATCAATATGCCCTTTTAAAAAGGCAGATGATGGTGATGGAAAGCATTATTTTCAATCTACTTGGTAAATCCAAAATGGCATGTATTGGACGTTTATCCTCCTTTTTGCCTTATCCCTTGAGTCAATCCTTGCCCCAATGCAAACATATAAACCCAACACTTATATGTTGCTCACTTGCGGTCTATAACCCTGTTAAGTATGGCTCATATACCAGAATTTGGAGTCTCTTGGAATTAAGAGAAGTGTCTCTTGGAATTGAAGAGATGTGTCTCCTGGAATGAAGAGGAGTGTCTCTTGAAATTAAAAGTGTCTCTTGGAATTTAGTGGGTTGGGGGGAGCGAGGGCATATTATTAATTTTATCTGTGAGTTTTATCTATATATATGACTTTGACTTCTCTGAAATAGTGAAATTCGCCGATCTGCTTCCAAGGACGTAGGCATATTTATCGAACTTCGTTAAATCTCTATGTTCTTCTGGATTTGTGTGGATTCTTATTTTTTTTCGCCTTAATTTCTCAACAATTGGTATCAGAGCAAAGTGGGGCAGGGAAAAAAATTTTCCTCAAGGATCGAAACAGAAGGAAAATCGAAGAGGGCGGAATTCGGTAAGGGTTGCGGTTTGCAGCAGTTTCGCTTCAGCGAAGCATGCAAAACGGCGAACGGGCGAACGATTCGGACTCCAAGAAGCACTTCAGAGCTTCTTCCATCGGCGAGATCAACAGAGGAGCAGGAAGGCGTCGGCGAGATCCGTAGAGCTCATCGCGCAAATATGGGTTCGCGGCATAAATCGCGCGAGGTTTCGATCTCGCGAGTTCTCGTGTTGTTCGCAAAGGGTCGCGGCAGGGGGTTCGTGGGTTCGCGGCGTTCACGTGCGACCAGTCGAGAGCACGAATTCAATGCAGAAGTTCGGCCGCAGGAGTTTAGTGAAGGACGAGGGCTTCTTCACAAAATCTTATTCCGCGATCAATTTTTATGGTTCTGCAAAGCAAGCTTGGCGACGAGGCAAGAACAAGCACGCAAAGGTTTCGCGAACAGGCGCGATCAATTCGCAGAGGAGATCTAGAGGATTTTGCCAATCGTTACAGTAGTTCGCGAACCGCAGTTGGCGAATCGTTGCGATTGCTTGCAGGAAGGAGTTCTAGCGGCCAGGGAAGTCTGCGAAGGAGCGGTTTGCAAGCAATTCGTGTGGCAGTTTAGTTTCGCAGAGGAGAGGAGTTCGGTTGCGAACAGGAGGAGTTCGGCCAGTGGGGAGTTCGCAAGTTTGTCGCGGGAGGATTTGCGACAGGTGGAGTTCGGCAGGGAGCAGGCGAAGCGAGCAGGCACGACTATTCGCGAACAGTGGTGTTTTGCGAACAGACAAAAGGGTTTTGCTCGCAGGATATCAGCTTAGCTGAAGTGTTGACACAACAGGAAAAGTAGTTCGTGTGAAAAATTTGATTCACGAATCATAACAGAATTACAGAAAAATTGCTGCAATTGACAGAGAATTTCATGTTTATTTGAATTTATTTGCGGTGTGTTTTTGTTTCGACGCAAAGCAGGAAAAGTTCGTTGTATGATTAATTTTAAATAGCAATGTCTGGTGCAAAATTCAATATAGTGAAGTTCGATGAAACCAGGAACTTTAGATTGTGACAAATAATGGTGAAAGATTTGTTGGCACAACAAGGAATTTTAAAGGCTATGCGAGCTACGAAATTTGATAATATGAAAGATAAAAATTGGAAAGAATTGCAACAACGAGCGGCAGCCACCATACGTTTATGTCTGGCTAATGAGATTATGTATCATGTTATGAATTTGAAATCTCCAGGAGAAGTATGAAATAAATTGGAATCTCAGTTTATGTCCAAATCTCTGACGAATAAAATGTATCTGAAGCAAAAACTGTATGAGCTGAAGATGCAGATAGACACTGATCTAGCGCAGCACTTGAATTTCTTCAATCAAATAATCACAGATCTAACACGGCTTGATGTGAGTATGGAGGATGAAGATCGGACAATGATTTTGTTGTGTTCATTGTTTTTCTACTATGAGTATATGGTGACTACTCTTACATATGGAAAAGAAACAATCAAAATTGATGAGATTACTGCAGCATTGTTGGCTCACAACTAGAGCTGTTAAAACGGCTCGTTGTTCGCGAACAGCTCGTGTTCGGCTTGTTTTGTTTGGCTCGTTCGCTAAGTTGATGAGTCGAACACGAACAAATATTTGTTCGTTCGTGTTCGGCTTGTTTTGGCTCCAAAAACTACTCAATCATTTTTAAAAAATTAAATTACTACAAGGCTACAAAGACTTATAATTAATTAAAAGTATTCATGAAGAAAATATAATAAAAATTTTTAAATTAGATTCAAATGATATTTTAAATCTTGCCCCAATCCTTAATATCTGATGGTTGCGTGATTATGGTTGTCAAAATGACTCTTTGTTTGT